AGACAAATCTGGTGGAGCCATGATGGATTACTTGGGAGTATAAAATGTCACAAATCAAGTTGGTCCCAGGCATAAAACTGCCAGTCCATACATGGCAGAAAGTTACTCAAACAGATCCCATGACAAACCTTGTCCTCCACCTCTCCTTGAAGGCCCAGAGTCAGAAAGAGCAAGGTCACTTTTAAGCAGGACTATGTCATTTCTCAAACTCACACTGGTCAACAGAAGGCATGTATTGGCCTTGTCACCTCCATCTCCATAAAGTCAGCCAGCAGACTAAAGTGGTATAGTCTCTTAGGATAAGAGTCCAGAAGTCTTCTGTCACTTGTGGTCAAACTTTTCACTTCCAAAGAATCTTTTGAATTCCGGTGTCACCTGAATCCTGCCTGGTATTGAATCCTGGCTCCGCCACTCTCAAACCACAAAGGTGTCTCTCTGGGCCTGGGTTCCCTTCTGTGGAATGATGTCCCCAGGACACGGGTACTGCTTTATGAGCCATGTCACCAGTGCCGATCTAGAGTGAGTGGACACTCCCTTGGCACCCTGCCATTGTCACAGGTCCTGGTCCTCCCAGACAAGCTCATCTGTTCCATGGGTATTAATCTCTTCCTCCATTTTTGTTCCCTCATGTGCTCATGGTCACCCTAAAAGTAGGAACTGGCCCAACATCATATCATATGGCAGGTCCCCATGAGGTCACAGCCCACACCCATCCTCTCAGTCTGCTGAGGATGTACACTTCAGGATATAGACCTAGGGAGGCCCTCCAGGCACGAGGACAACTGACATAGGTGCCCAGGCAGACAGACCTCTTTGGCCTCCATCCACACCCTGAAGCCCTACCTTCCACAAAGGGCAGATTCTCAAGTCGGGCAGAGAACAATGCAGGTCTGATATAACCCCGAAGATTCCCTGGCCCACATGCCATGGCAAGCCCGATGTTTGGCCCTTACTGTTTCTTTTGATGGAAAGTGGGGACAAGGAAGGCGGGGCATCCCCATTGTGTGAGGATTCTAGAATTCATGGTTTATTCAGGACAGCAGAACATGGGTTTCTGCCCCAAGGTTGGGCTTATCCAGCTGCAGTAGCAATGAGACTCTGAGAAGGAGACTGGATGGTCACGGCAAGGCCCTACCAGGGCCATGAGGTGATGTTGCTGTCAGGAACCTTCCTGGAATGGTACTGCTGGTGCCCAACACTGAGCCCAGACAGAGCCCCTAACACAGCTCTCAGCATGACTCTGCTGCCCAGCCTTGGCCTTGACAATACCTGGGAAAGAGCTCTCTACTGGGGTGCAAGCTCAAGACCTTGCTGACCTCTCCCTTATCCTTTAGCATTATCCTGCAACTCTCTGACCATTACTCTCAGTAGTTTCCCCTTAAGCCCTGGTGGGCCTCCAAGTATCCTCATTGACCTTCTTTCCTACAATCCTGCTCACAGAGCGAGCTCTTTGAAATGCAAACCAGTTCCCCTCTTTTTGTGCAAAACTGGTTGCACAGAAAAGAATAATGTTACAAGGGCATATGTCAAAAGATAAGGTCTATAATTTCTGGTAATGGTTGGTTTCCTGGAATTTTTTAAAAAAACTTTCTTTGCATTCTACTATAATGGAGAAAACAGCTCATTTTTTTTAATGTCATGCAAATTTTCTGGATATAATTAATCTAAAGACAAGTTGGGCAAAGAGGTGGGAAACCAGACTAAAGCAATAAAAATAAAAGAAAATTTGAAATAGTCAAAGTCAAAGATTGGTCACCTATGCAATTTGTCAGGGGGCTGGAGATATAGCTTATTTGGTGGAGTGCTTGCCTCGCATGCACAAGGCCCTGGGTTCAATCCTCAGCACCAAAAAAAAAAAAAAAAAAGATTCTAAGCAAAATGGCAACAAATTGAATGCCTAGGATTTTAGGCATTCAAATTTACCTAGGATTACTATTGACCTAGTAGTGTAATTCAGTATGTGAATAAATAAGAACCATAAAATCACGTTAATAGTCCACTATTGCATCGGCAGGACCCAAGATAGTCTCTGGCACAAAGAAGATTCTATTGAATAAACGTCTGTGGGCTGGATGAACAAATGAAGTAAAGGCCATCCTGGGTACTCTCAGTATTATCACTGCTATTTTGAATTGTGCTGGAGTTTCAGGCAATAACATAACAAAAAGAAATGAATGGTTTGATTTTCAGAAAGGACAAATAGAACCTGTTACCATTTGAGTTGATTTGATTACTCCCAAATAAGTGAAGAGAACTGCCAGGAGCCATCTGTGAGCTGTAGGTAAACTGAGCAATGTTGGAGTCGATAGGTAGGAAAGCTTGGTATCAGGAACTCCCAATAGGAAACAGCTGCCTTGAGAATGCCTTGTTCATATGGCGTCCTACCAAGCTCACTACTCAAGTACTAAAAGCTCCTGGAGATGGGTGTGGCTTGCCAAAATGCCAATCAACCTACTACAAGACCACACAGAGAAGCAAGCACCGAAACAGGACTCCTTTCACTGAAACCTTACCCCTGTCTTTGATGTGCTCCCCCTTAAATAATTGGAGCCTCTTTCAGTTGTTCACTTGCAGCTCCTACCAGCACTGGAAGACCCATCAGGCGCTCTGTTTTAAATCTAATTTCTACCTCTGTCTTTATTTCTTCCTGATTATTTCAGACTTTTTATTTTCCCAGGCAGCTCACATCTCCTGGGCAGAAACCTTCTCTGTTGGGGTGCTGGTCACCTGGATAGAGAGATACCAACTACAAAACTACTGAACTGAAAAGATAGTTTTAGGGGCTGGGATTGTGGCTCAGTGGTAGAGCGCTCGCCTAGCACATGCGAAGCCCCAGGTTCGATCCTCAGCACCACATAAAAATAAAGATATTGTGTCCAACTACAACTAAAAAAATAAATATATAAAAAAAGAAAAGATAGTTTTAAGGATTGGGGATATAACTCAGCCATAGACACATGCAGAGTTATCATGCGTGAGACCATTGCTTGCCCACCAGCACTGCAAAAAAGATAAATAAACAAAATAGTTCTGCAAGTCAACCAGAAATCAAGATTACTATCTCTAAAAATCCATCAAAAGCTTTATAATACCTGACATGTAGAATTGTGCAAAAGGTAATGAGAATAGATATCATTTACAATACATCCCAAATTTGCATTGTACTTAGAAGTAAACTTAATACTTACCCAGATATCCATGAATAAAATTCTAAAACTGCTGAAAAGATAAAGAAGAGCTGAAGTAATGGAGAAATATATCTCTGGTTAGAAATTATATTTATCTCTGTAGAAATGAGAGTTCTCCCCAAAATACTATGTATATTTAATTCCAAACAAATACCAATAGTATATTTTTGAGAAGTGTTCTGCAATTTCATTTTCTCCACTTTTTAAATTGACACATTATGATTGTACATATTGATGGGATTTGTTGTTACATATTCATGCATGCACATGCTACAATGATATAATTTGGCCAATATTATCCCCCAGCACTTCCTCTGCTATATTCCCACCTCCCACACCTTGGTCCCTTTGATTTTCATGAGATCTCCCTAACTTTCTTTTCCTTTTTCCTCTCTAAGTATGTGTATGTGAGAGAAAACATGAACCCTGACCTTCTCAGTTTTATTTCTTTTGCTTATCGTAATGGTCTTTAGTTCCTGTAAATGACATAATTTTATTTTTCTTTATGACAAAATTTTATTATGTATATGTACCACATTTTCTTTATCCATTTATCTGTCAATGAACACCTAGACTAGTTTCATGATTTTATAGGGTATTCTGAATTGTGCCACTATAAACATGGATATGCATATGTCACTGTAGTATAGTGACTTGAATTCTTTAGGATAAATACTGAGGAGTGGCTTAGCTGTGTCATAGGGTAGTTCAATGCCTACTCTTTTGAGGAGACTCCATACTGATTTCCATAGAGGTTATGCTAATTTTTATAATCCCACCTACGATGTAAAAATGTACCTTTCTCTCCACATCCTCTCCAGCATTTATTATTCATATTCGTGGTGACTGCCATTCTGACTAGTGAGAGATGAAATCTCAGTGTAGTTTTGATTTGCATTTGCCTAATTTGAATGATGTCGAACACTTTTTTTATATTTTTGTTGACCTTTTGTATTTCTTCCTTTGAGAAGTATCTAATTCATTTGTCCATTTATTAATTGGGTTGATTTTTTTCATGTAAAGTTTTTTGAGTCCTTTATTTCATCTAGATATTAATATTCTGTCAGAAGAATAGCTAGTGAAGATTTTCTCCCATTCTGTAACAATTCTTCCCAATTGTTAACATTGCTGTGCAGAAGCTTTTTAATTTGATGCCATCCCATTTATTAACTCTTGGCATTGTTTCCGAGGTTTACAGGTTCTACTGAGAGAGTCATTGCCTGTGTACATGCTGGAATGTTGACCCTACATTTTTTTCTAGGAATTGCATAGTTTCTGATCTAATTTCTAGGTCTTTGATCCATTTTGAGTTGATTTTTTGTGCAGGGTGAGAGATAAGGGTCTAATTTCATTCTTCTACATATAATCAGTTTTCCCAGCCATTAATATTTTTAATGGATGTTGGCAAGCTGATTCTAGAGTTTTTATGGGAAAAATAGATAATATTTTATTTAAAAGAAAGAGGAAAATTGTTGCTACAATTTAAGAAAATACAACATAGCTGATGGAAACAGTACAGTATTAGTCCAGGGGCATTCAGTAAATATATTGGGATTTCATTATAAGTGTGGAAATTCAAATCAGCAGGAAAAGGATGGACTATACAAAAAAAAATGGTGACAACAAAATCAGTTCTTGGGTTAGAAACAGAATTAGGTCCCTACCTCACACCATATAGAAAAAGAAATTCTATGATTACTATGATTACTTCTGGGGGCAGAAAACAGAACCAGTGGGGGCCAGATGAGAAAAGAGGAATCTTTATATACAATCTCTGAATTTTAAAAATAAATCACAACAAGAATGTATTTATACATTGCTTGAAATATTTTTTTTTAATAAGAAAAGAACATAGAGGGAAATACATCAAAATGAGAAGAGTTGTGTATCTCTGTGTGGTGGGACTGGGGAAGGTTTCCTTTCTCTGGGCTTCACTGTATTTCCTAGCTTTTTATGATAAACATATAATACTTTTACAATTAGTTTAAAGAAAACACGAAGCTGTGTTCAGAGTGATCTCTGTGGATCATGCCTACTGTCAGCCTATAAGGCATGTTTTGACTCCTCCCTTACAGTAATATACCCACTGTACAGATGAAAGAACGGAGGCTGCAGGCCCAGGTCCTTTTCCTATGCTCCAACACTGGAGAGAGACAGCTTCCCATTTGGGAGCTCCCTGGCAGAATTAATTCCAGGAGGCCCTGACCTCCCACCTACTCCCAACCCCCAGGGAAGCTCCAGGGAACAGAAAAAAGAACCAGCTCACTTTGCATTAAATTTAAACCCTACTATCTTTGTCCCAGATTCCAGAACCCTCTGGATCATACTCCCCCTTTTTCTCACCCAGGGCTTAGTCATTCACCACACCCTTCCCTGTTGGGATGCCAAAGCAGGACCCAGTTTCCCAGGGGCCACTCTTTCCCTACCCTTGAATATGGACATGTGACCTTGGTCCAACCCCCCATCTGTTGCCATCCAGCAGAGGCAAAGCAGGCAGAGGAAGGGGTGAAGTCAGGGGCCCATCAGAGGCCACAGCAGCGAGGACAGGAATAGGAGCCAGGAGGAGCTGCAAGGACCAGTCAGAGTTCCATGGCTCAGTTGCTTCTTGATCCATTGGCTATATTTGGTGATACGAGCAAACACTCCTGGATTCCGTGTTTGGGTGCAGGCCTTCTCCCAGGACAACACCCCAGCCAGCACCCATCGGCCGTGGACTTCGCAAGCCAATGGCCCCCCAGAATCTCCCTGTAGAGAAGACAGGAGTGAAGGAGGCTCCTGAACCCCAGGAAACCCAGAATACCCACCCTCTGAGTTCTATTTGAAAGCCGTTCTTGCTAATTGCTCCTCAGTTAGGAACCCAACTCAGAATAGCAGCCAATGTCAAAGTTCCAGGTGAAGGAAGGTGAGAGTAGATCCTGATAGTAACTGAGAGGGAGCTAAGCAAGCCCTGCCCCCAGGGAACTGGCCCCCACCCAGGGATTACTAGCAGGAGAGCTGCCAGAACCTGCACCTCCCAAACTCACAGAGCACAAGTTATCCCCATAGTTGGTGGCACAGACCAGATCTCCCTGGACAAGGCGGGTAATTCGGGGGATAACGGAGAGCTTGCGATAAATCTTGTTACATCTCTTGTTGTCCATGATGAACACCTCGGCCTCCTGCAGCTCTGTGGTCAGCGTGGAGTTGGCTGTGGAGGAGCTCAGTTGGGTGAGCAACAACCCTTCACATCACTCAACCTTGACCTCTGCCCAAGATGTTGTCACCTCCAATGTTGTCAAGCCATGCCCTGTCACATTTCCATTCCCTCCTTCACTCGGTCCTTCCCCTTGCAGTGTCTACCCTAAGTATAGACCCCTTACCTTCTCATTCTTTGGTTAGGGATCCTCTTCTCTGAACCAATCTAGCCCTCATCAAGCTCCAGGGTGGCCACTTATAAGTTGGGACCCCAATCATGTGCCATTTCTCTCCAGACTGATAGGTTTGTACCAGCTATTCCCTCTGTCCCCTGACTAACACTTGCTCCTCCTTCAGACATCTCAAGCAGTCCCTCTGCCCAGAGCTCAGCCCAGATCTCCCCAGGTTTTTGTCAGCCTGCTCTCCCTGATTCCATCGCCGCACACCATGCACACCATATACTGCTGTGACTCCCTTCTGGGCAGGGCATGCATTTTCAATGGCAGGGGCTGGGTGTGTGTCAGATGCCCAAAGTGTGCCAAGTGAGTGAACTTATGAACCCCTGACCCTGAGTTTCTGTAAGAGGCAGATGATTACACCCAGTCTAGAGAGTGTAACCTGAATGAAGTGGCCATGGAAACCATGACAATGGTCACCATGGGAGACATGGTCCTAACCCATTTTAAAGAACTAAGGACCAGAGGTGACAGTCACTTTGACCTCATGCCCCCACCCCACTCCATCCCGCTCACCTAAAAAGCGCTGTTTGACCTGGCCCCAGCCAGTCACCCAGCACTGTGTGCCAATCTTCAGGTTAAAGTTGGGTTCTGGGAGGCAGATGGGCTGAACATACTTGCTGAAGGTGACGGGAGTGAGGAGTTGGAGAAGGGCGATATCACCCACGACAAATGTTCGACCCCAGAACTTGGGGTGCACAATGATGTCCCTCACAGGGATCCAGATGACCTTTTCGTATCTCATTGGGTTCAGCTTGGAAGTACCAAGTACCACTGTGTAGTTTTTGGAGCTGCAGGAGATACAGAGCCCCACTTGGCAGATATCAGTTTCCCAGACAAGTATGTCCCTACCTCTTCCAAGGACCCTCTCCCTTATCAGAAGTCCTGCCCGACTTGCTGTGCTCACTCCATCTTGCCTAATCTACCCTGGAGGTCTCAGAGAGAGGGATCTGCCTGCCTCGTCCTTCTTTATTCAAGTTGACTGAAGATGGCCTGTTCTCTGTGGCATGCTGCAGGTTTGTGGGTATAGATGCCCACATAAATGTATTCCTGTGGGAGGGGGGTTCTGGGTTTTCCTACTTCCCAGCTTAGAATACAATCTTTGTTGCTTGAGATTCCTGCCCCAGTCAGTCCCTGGCTGCCTCTCAGATCCTGAGTATGACACATTCCTGTACTGGCCACCACTTCCCAATCTTCCCCACCCCCCTCTTCCACAAAGAAATAAGGAAACTGGTCTGGGTCCATTGTAGCTCTGAATCTCCAGGCCCTGGACCCATAGACAACACTCACCCTTTGATGCAATGGGCAGCAGTCACCACCCATTTGGAGTCAATGAGGGACCCTCCACACACATGCTCACTGTCTATCCGGAGGCTCACCTCCCAGGGCCAATGGCGGGGCTGGTCCGAATCCTGTGTCCACCAGGGTTCACCACAAAGTTCAGAAACTAGCATATCAGAGAGACACAGTGACCACATAGAGGAAGATAAGAATGACCAGAACCAAGAAGTCCTCCAAGGCCAATTTGCATAATGCTGTAAAGTCAGGGGCTTCTTCCCATTTCAGAGAGGGAGATTGAGGGTGAGAGGCAAGTGGCCTGCCCAAAGGCAGTAAGCTAGACAAAGTGACAATGACAGATACGAGCATCAAGAAAGGGACACAGAGAGTTCACAACAGGAGAGAGATACTGAGATTCATGAGAGCAACCAGCGCAGGACTTCAAAACAAGGGAGAAGCAGAGAAGGAATCCTAAGCAGAGAAATGCATGTCCTGAAAAGCTACAAGTTTGCTGCAGTCTTTACACCAAGCAGCCTGGAGCCCACCGAGGTCCCCACTCACAGTTCACACACTAGTTTAATCAGCCAAGATGTGTGACTGTGTGAATGAATGTTTGAATGAACACAGATGCAGGAATTCTAAATAAAATATTAGCCAACATCATATTTTGAAAAACAACACTCCTTGATCACATAGGGATTGTCCCAGGAGTGCAAGGGTGGTTCCACCCTTGGACAAGTTCCAGTGCTTTCTCCACATGAACAATTCTCATGATCTGGAGGGAGAGAGATTTTGTGCTTTTCTCAAGAGACAGAAAAAAAGGGTGTTTAAACATTCAATGTGTACTTACGACTTGGAAAAAAAAAACAAAGGAAATTTATAACTTTTGATATGTCAAATACCTATACGAAACATCATATACTGTTGAAGAAAGACCAAAAAAAAAAAAAATCTACACTATCAGAAGCCTGGATAAGGAGACTCTGTGAGAAGGGGCAGAGGAAGTAATTTTTGAGAGCCTAAAGGGGATGTCCTGTTCTGCCTTTTAACCTGGCTGGTTGAGGACACAGGTGTGTTCATGGTGATAATTCCTAGACCCAGTCACACTTTGTGCATTTTATTGTATGTACATAATACCTTGCATGAAAATCATCTACTTTTAAAATCACTACTATTTCTTTACGCCAGCACCATCACCAAGAAAATACACTCAAAACACATTTTCAGTAGCAAAAAAATTACAAGTACATAGAAATTAACCTAATACCACATAAGACTTGTGTAGTGATAAATTTAAAACTCTAACAAAGGACCCAGAAAATAATCAACATAAATGGAGAGATGGTCCTTTCTGTGAAAGAGAATGACTAAGTATTTTAGATATAATTTTCCCAGAATTAATCTATAATTCATTTTCTAAATTAGAATTGTTAAGACACTTGATAAACTTGTTCTAAAATTGACATAGAAAAATAAAGGTCTGGAAAGAATTCAATCATTGAAAAATCCCAGTAAAGAAGGGCCTCTGTGCTGGCAGATATTAAGACCCACATGAAAGCCAAAACAACAGGAATGGTATAGTGCTGACACATGGACAGACAGATGGACCAACTCAGGAACTTGATGTAAATGAACAGGTCACCATAATCAATGCATAAAGAACCATTGAGTAGGTGGTGTGAAAACTAGCTTACTATGAATGAACTAAGAAAAGATTCCTCATTAATAGCGCTTGAAGACCTAAAGGTAAAGGTAAAACTGTGAAGTTAACAGACTATGTGCCATGGGTGGGAAAGAGTCCTTAAAGCCCCAAAATACAAACCAAGCTGGGCTAGTGGTACACATCTGTCGCCCTGCTAACTGGGAGGCTGAGCAAGAGGATTGCAAGTTCAAAGCCAACCTGGGCAACTTAGCAATACTCCTTTTCAAAATAAAAATAAAAAGGGGTAGGGATGTAGCTTCATGGTAAAGCACCTCTGAGTTCAATCCCTGGTAACACACACACACACACACACACACACACACACACACACATACACACACACTCCACAAACCATAAAACATAAAACTAACTTGATTACATCAAAATCAAGAAGTTTGGGGGCTGGGGTTGTGGCTCAGTGGTAGAGTACTTGCCTAGCAGGTGTGAGGCACTGGGTTTGAGACTCAGCACCACATGAAAATAAGTAAATAAAATAAAAATACTGTGTCTATCTACAACTAAAAATATATTTTTAAAAAAGAGTGGTAGGTCTGGGGCAATATGAACAACTTCATACATCGATTATTTCCAAATGAAGACATTTTTAATGGGGCTAAATGAGGAAACATGGGGCCAGGGTTGTGGCTCAGGGGTGGAGCACTTGTCTAGCATGCCTGAGGCACTGGATTTGATCCTTGGCACCACATTAAAAATAAACGAATAATAAACAAAAAATACACATGACAGCGATATGTATTGTTATAAGAACAAACAAAGAGCACATGGAACGTATCAGAAAAAAGTTGGAGAAGGTGGGGAGAAAGGGAAGAGGAGTGGCGAATGGGCAGAGCAATTTAATCAATTTAATTTAATCAATCAACCAAACAATCAATAATGAATCAGAGTAGAGCCTGGCAAGACCTGAGACAATGGAGGTTCGTGAATCCAAAGGACAGGAGAAATCCAAGCCTTTGCCCCTGATATATAAGGAAAAAGATAGGAAACCCAAGAGCCAGGCTCTGCAGACAATGCCCCAGGGCCCCAGGGCCCAGGAGGCTCCAGCTGCAACTGCACAGTTTAGAACCCCAAAACACATGGAAAAGTGTAGCCTCCTGGACATGTCCCCAGAGAGGATGCAGCCTGGTCTGAATTCAAAGAGAGTCTGCATTCCCATGGAGTCCCCGTAGATTTTTCCCCTGGATTTTTAAATCCATATATCCTGGTAGTCACAGGTTGTTCTTTGAAAAGTAGCCCTGCTAGAATATTCCTGGTTCCTACCAACCCAGAAATGCTATCAATGTGATGCCCTTCCGAACACATCCCCAAAGACCTGAAGCTTTTCCTATGGCAGGGGCCCACTGAACTCACCTGGTGTAGTTCTGTCATCTGTGAAACCTGAAGGAGAAAAGATGGCCAGAGATGAAGCAAAAGCTAGTGGCATGATGACAACCAAGACATGCATGTTTTCATTAATTAGTTCACTTATGTATTCTCCAAATATTCCCTCATCTCCTGCATGAGCCTAGCTTGGAGGTAGATGGTGGGAACCCATGTGTCACATACAGCCGTCCCTCCAGGAACACTATGCCCAGCACAGGAGGTAGACCTAAGTACACAGTCACTCATGTGAGATCAGAGTGTCAGACCCCAGGTGTCAGGTGAGCCCTTGAAGAGGTGGTGGACAAAAGAGACTTCTGAGAGGAGGGGTTACGGGGCTGGTTTTAAAGATGACAAGGCACAGCAGAAATGAAAAAGGGATGACATTCCTGGCAGAAGAAACATTGTGGTGTATGCTGCAGACTCCAGAGGATGAAAGCAAGACCTGTGATAGCTAGAGACAGATGATACCAGGAAAGGAGCACAGGAGCCAACCATGGAGGTCCTCGAGCACCTGGCCAAGAAGCTTGTTAAGACCCTCTGGGACGCCAATAAAGGTGTGGCAGTGCCAGGTTTGTAATATAGCCAGGAAGGTAAAGGACTGAAAGCTCTGAGATCCCACTGGAGATACTGCAGAACCAGACAAGAGAGAAGCAGCTCTGGAGGAGGAAGTTGGTGTGAGACCAGACATGGAGAGCTGGGTGGGAGATTTGGGACTACAGAGTAAGAGAGGCCAGTTTGTAAGGTGAGGCTGCTTTGAACCCCCAAGAGTCGAGATGTTTCTAGGTCACTTGGGTGGAGACTTCAGCAAGTGGCACATTGTTTTATGAAGCATTATCACATAAAATGTCAGCTTAGAGCCCAGGGTGAGTTAGTTCACCCAGTGAGCAGTAAACAGGAAAGGAGCAGGGAACTAGGGAGAGCCTTAGGGGATACCCCTATGTCAGGGGTGAGCAGAGCTGGAGGGGGCCTGGGGCACAGGCTGAGGAGATACAGGGTTAGTCCTGAGGTAGAGGAGAATCAGGAAGCCAAAATAAATAAAGAAAATGAAGGGAGCAGTAAAAAGGTCAGGTCAATAAAGACAAAGGAATGGGCCAAGGATAAGGTGGGATGGAAGCATGAAGCCTAACAGCCTGAGAAGAAGGTGAATTTTAGAATACTCCTTTGAGCGGGTCAGGAACATGCCTGAGTCAAACCAGCAGAATCGAGTGGAACTAGCTACTGGGGAAGAGCAGAGGATGGGGAGCAGGAGGAGAGTGTGAAGCTCCAAAGGTGCTGGGGAGAGGGTGCCCGGGAGGTCAGGACGTTAGTCACAGAGTCCAGACTGGCAGGGGCGGGGTGGGGTGGCGGGGAAGCGGCAGGATGCGGAAGAGTCACAAGACAGAGGTGCTCCGCGCTGGCGGTCCCAGGAGGCTGGAGGGCAGGTGCGGACCCAGAGAGGAGGCCAGAGAGGACAGGGGTTTCAGATCACTGGGAGCCCCTGCAGAGATCCTGGGAGGGCTAATAGAGGACAAGTGGCCACTGGGCTGGTGTGGGGACAGAGAGTCCCAGATGCCAATATAGATAGCCATCCTGGCAGGACAGGGGCGAGAGGGGCGGAGGGGCGGAGGATGGCCCAGAAGGCTTTGCTTTACCGGAGTTTGGCGGTAGCAGAAGCAGCAGCAGCAGGTGACAACTCAGGAACCAGGACCTCAAGGATCCTTGCCCGGCGGCCATGAGTCCCGGGGCCACCTGACGCCTGCAGGGTTGGCTCAGGCGGGCTGGCTCAGGACAGCGTCTCTGGCGCGTGCTGTGATGCGTCTCTGACTTGTGGTGGCGCTTCAGCACGCGCGCAGCCAACGGCTCCAAAGACAACCTCGGATCCCAGGGTGGCCGGGCCCATGCAAGCATCCCAAGTGGCTCTGAGGGTATGGCAGTGCCCACAGAACCTGGCTGGTGAGGGCCCCGACCAGATCCTTGGCACCTCTGCCTACACTATAGAGTTCCACAATCACTGTTGATGTGAGCATCTGGAAAGATGTTAAAAGTACAAGATGGGAGAAAAAATAGTATGACTAGGGAATTAGGGACCATCCTTTTAAGAAAGTGATACATAAGCTGGACCTAAATCAAGGAATCCTGGGAGAAACCTAAGAAATTTTTCCTCGTTTACACACCACCAATAAGATCAGTGTCATTGAAAGAGGTGGTGGTTTTGCCAGACCTTATAATAGGGCTTTTTGCAGAAATATGATGTCTTTGGGTCTGCTAGACATGGCAGGGATTGGGAGATGACCACCAAGACTGTTCTTTCCCCATAACCCAGCCTGGCACCTAAGTGTGTCCACACAGGTGAGGTGATATATGCTACTTCCATATCAACAACCAAGAGAAAGTTGCGTTTTCTCACTCTTGTTACCCCAGAGCATTGATTCTCAAAGATCTCCAGAGCCACAGTGCTTGCCACCTGAGAACATGTTCCAAATGTACATTCTCAGGTGTGGGATCTACCTACAAAATTGAAAACATGCAGAGAGGAAACAGAATTCAATATTTTAACAAGCCTTTGGGGTTAAAATTCACACAGATAATTACACATTGCTGTATCCATAGTGTTTTTGATAAGATTAGTTTATATAGCTGTTTAGGTTTCTGCCAATATATATAGAAACACAGTACATCAGTGTCATTATTTTACCAGTTCAAGTGAGCTACAGAAAACTTACTTGCCTTTTATATCTCTGTATACTTCTGTTTGTAAAGTCATTATTTTAAACACTTCCTTTACATCAATGTAGAACCATGTCAAACAGTGTATGAGTTTTCTTAAACCACCAAACATAATTTAGAGAACTCGAGAGAAGGAAATGTTATTTTGATAATTCCCCCCTTTCTTTCTGATATCTCAAATATCCTTTTATTCTTTCCTTTCTGTTTAGAGAGCTCCTGAGTTTATGGTATTCTTTTATGGTAGAATTGTAGGTGACAGGTTCCCTTGGGTTTCCTCAATCTGAGAATCTTCTGATTTCCGTTTAATTGCTTCACGCTGCTTGTCGCTGTGGAGGAACGTGGCTTGACCCTTGTTTCTTCGGTACTTGAAACATTGTGCCACTTAATTCTGTCTCCGTGTTTTCCGATGAGAACTCCACTATTATCTGAATTAGTTCACCCTGTGGGTAATTTGTTATCCTTCTGCTTTTCTTTGTAGGTAGTTTCTTTAATTTTTAAAAGTTGGATTGCCATATATCTTGTCATAAAGTTCTTTAAGTTTTTTTAAATTCCGTTTGTATTTGTCCAACATCTCAAACCTGTACGTTTCTGTTTCTTGCCAAATTGGTCATTTATTTGTTTGGCTATTGATTCAGTGTTATCCTCTTTCTTTCTTTCACACTTTGGTAACATGAACGTTAGACCTTTTTACATTCTTTCATAGGTCCTCAAGACTCTGTGCATTATTCTCCTCCAGTCTATTTTTCAGCTTTTAGATTATACAATTTCTCTTCAGTCTATTTTTCAGCTTTTAGATTATACAATTTCTCTTCTCCATCTTACTGTTTACTGATAGTTTTTCCTTTTGAGCTATTCTGAACTTGGGACTCTTCATTGGATTTTTAAATTTTTGTTACAGTATTTTTCACTTATCAATGGTTCTCCTTTCTATCTTGTATTCCTTAGCTAAGGTACCAGGGATTGGACGAGGGGCACTTAACCACCAAGTCACATCACCAGCCACTTTTTATATTTTATTTTGAGATAGGGTCTCAGTTGCTTAGGGACTCACTAAGTTGCTGAGGCTGCCTCAGCCTTCTGAGCTGCTGGGATTGCAGGCTCATGCCACTGTGCTTAGCCAGTATTTCTATTTTTTAATTAGAAAAAGTCCAAGAATCCCACAGAAACCAATTCCAATATTCTGTGCTTTCAAGTAGTGTTCAAAAATATCAGTTTGAGCCAGACATAGTGGCACACAGGGAGCCCGAGGCAGGAGAGAACAGCCTCGACAACTTGGTGAGACCCTGTCTCAAAATAAAAAAATATAAAGGACTGAGGATGTAACTCAGTGGTAGAGCACACTTGCATACAATTGCCAGCACTGAAAACATAAACAATCAGATTTATTCCATACATTGCATTAGGGAAGAAAGACTTCAGCTTGGAACCAAGTTTAATACCAAATACAGAATGATCTGCTGAAAAACTTTTAGCCAAGAGGCAGCGCTAGGGAGTCAGTAGATGGGAAATTACCAAAAGAAACTTGCTTAGATATGAAGAGTAGAGAATTCTTGCTAAACAGGCTCAGCAGGATTCTTTCTACAAATTGGATTCAGCAGGATTCTTTCCTAAAACTAGAGGAGGGCTCAGAGGAGACTGATTAAAGTTTGGTCAAGGAGGGAGTCTTTGTCAATTCTATATTGAAGGATCTATGAATAAATGTTGACCAACTAGATAAGAAAAGCAACTGGGCACAATGGCACACCCCTATAATCACAGAGGCGGAAGGATTCCAAGTCTGAGGCTAGTCTCATCAACATAGACCCTGTCTCAAAATTAAAAAACACCTGGGGGGATGTGGCTAAGTGGTAGAGCAACTGTGGGTTCAATACTCAATAGGGGGTGGGGGTGAGAGCAAAGACTATTTATTCTAATCTTGCTGTAGGAAAGGAGTCATCTAGATCACTTGCTTTTTGGCAGAGAGTTGAAAACAGACAGAAGAGCAGGAAGGCTATATTGCAGGGGGAAAAAGAGGCTTCAAGTGTTCCCTTGTTAGAGGTTGTAAGCATGGAAGCTGTAAGGCAGGCTAACTAGAAGTGGTGCATCTTACGTGATTCTGTAAAGATATTTCACTTTCTCTGATTGGTCTTAAGTTGGAAGCAGATACAAAAATTGGTGAAATAGCTTAGGTTCTCCCCACAAAGTTTTTTGGGGGTGCGGGGTTGACTGTGTTTGTTAATCTGTTCTTCTACCAGGCAAAGATACAGCAGTTGGTCCCGCTTTGCCCCAATCCTATTTGGCATGTAAGGACATCTAGATGTTGTCATCTATAAGAAAAGAGCCTTTACTAGACACCAAACCTGCTTGTAACTTGATCCTGAACTGCCCAGCCTCCAGAACTGTGAAAAGTAAATTCCTGTTGTTTGTAAATTAATTCCATCTGTGGTTTTCTGTAGTATAGCAGTATTAGTCAATTTTCAGTCTTCTCTGTTCCTATGACAAAATACCTGAAATAAATCAACTTAAAGTAAAAAAAAATCACACAGATAAAAAATGAACCATAATACTAAGAGTGGGACCATACAATGGAGAAAAGCTACCTGCTGGCCAAGAAAACTGGATTGCTCTTGTAAAAAGAAGTTAAATTTGTTTGGCTAATCCATGAATATCCAGTGGTTTGTTGGGAGTTGGTGCTGTATTCATTAAGAGACAGTGTTTGATGTTTAAGCCTGATCTCCCAGTCCCATCCTTCCTCTGGCAACAATTGGAACTGCCACAGACTGCCCATTGAAATCTAGGGGTGAGACATGGACCCCTGGAAAGACAAAAGGCAGAAGATCAGGAAAAAGCTGGTCAGCAGATCAACAGAGAAAATGGGAGACACCAGACCTTATATGAGGTCACCAAACCTGGGTACAATGTTTTGAATCTCTCACCCTACTTCATGTGGGAAATCATTTTTCTGGAAACAAACTCAGATGAGCAGCAAGGGGAAGAACTGAAAAAGGAGGAATATTTGTTATGCTCCAACTTCACTCGGGCTCCCAGTTCCCTTCTCTCCTGATCACCTGCCTCTAGCAGAATCTGTGTGACTCAATTCTAGAGGTTACTGCAGAGATGCTGGAAATGACATAAGGGACCAGGATCTGCTTAGCAAAATCACCCATAAGATGCACATCAGAGCAGGTACTGCCTTACATCTTCTATGGTTAAAAGAAAGAACTTCCTTAGCTACGTGGGGGCACAGCTCTCCACAGAGGAGGTTATATATAACCAAACAACCCAAGTGAGCGGAGCTTCAGAACACACAGGACACTATCCAAACATTTATTCAGTTCACATTTAAAATCTCCACACTCAAAACTGTCTCAACACAATTCAGGATGCCCCTAATGCAGGCACTAGGGCACAGAGGAAGGAGTGCCGTATTAGGATACTCAATGAGACGCCAGTTCCACAGGCTACTCAGTCATAGATGGATCCACTCCGGAGCCGGCCAGCCACAGGCAATTGAGCCAGATGTGGAAGTCCCAGGCCTGACACCTCTTCAGGGACCAAGCACCACCTCTTGCATGCCATCTGACAATGACCGCTCTAGCTGGTGTAGCAAGGAACGTGGGATTGGATTCTTTGTCTCATGAATTCGAAGAATAAAACCCACAGACACAGGGTGAGAGTAAAGTAACAGGCTTTATTAGAGTAATAGAAAAAAAAAAAGTAGAGTTCCCAAAGAGAGAGGAATCCCAAAGAGGAATAACAAAGGGTGGCTATTGTCTAGGGATTTATATAGATATGTAGGTTTAAGGAAGTCAGCCCCCTGCCCAATCCTGGATAAGACATTCATGTCCACAAGGTATTTATGCAGGCTTTAGTCCGATCAAAATATCAATCAGGCATTTTTTCCTTCTTTGGAGGGGCATGGACCCCTGTCACGTAGGTCCTGATTTAAAAACAGCTTTTTTGTAAGTTAATTAGCAAATATATACAAGTGCTCTTTGTGCACTGCTACTTAGGAGCATCTCCCTATCCCCCCCAACCGTCTCTCTTCCTCCTGACATCTCTGGTGAGACAGTCTCAAGGAGACCCTGAAACCAGGGTTTCACCGTGATGACTTCTATCCTTTGGCACATATTCTCCAAAGTGTCTCAAGTCATCATGCTACCCATGACAGGACTGCGGGCACTTGAGCCTTCCTTTCCAACAGGGAGAGCATGGCCCAGGCATGTTAAACTGTGGGTCTCTCGAGGGTCAAAGAGTCTCTCCAGATTTGAAGAAAGGACATTGAGAAGGAAAGGGAGGTTAGAGGAGAGGTCTAGTGGGAGACCCCACAAATAGGAAGGGAGTGGGCCCGGGTGATCATATGGTCACCAGGATGGCCTTGGAAAGCAGAAGATATATGAGCAGCATACAGACTCCCATGGAATATATACCAGAAGCCTGATTTAAAATATCATTGATCCACTTCTTAAACTGGATGATCTCTGTATAAACAGAAGGAAGGACACCGCAACTGTAACCCCAGCTCACGACACCTATCTGGATCCATGTGTTGTTAACTTCACAGGCAAGAGGGCCCCCAGAATCTCCCTGGAGAAAGAAAAACAAACAAACTGCAGGGATAGAAGAGGGTCCTCATCCGACCAGGCAGCACGCCACCCGAGGTTCTGGGGAGAGAGACATGCACAGGGCTTTCTTCCCCAGGATCCCCAAAGGCACTGCCAGGCTCAGGTTCTCATATTCTCAGGGGAATATGAGATTTGACAGAAGGAGGTTGATGTGGGAACTTTAATATCCTCTGAGAAGTGCTACTCTTTCCTGGTGTCCAGGGAAGAGGACACGAGACACAAAGCCAGCAGGGCCTACTACACCTGCAGTAAACTGACTCACTTTGGGTGCCCCTACTCTTCCACTGCTGCTGACCCCTTCCTCATGACCCTTGCCAAAACCACCCATGAGCTTGCAGCTACAGGAGAACCCCTGACGGAGAAGACAGCAGGCAGAGCCCACTACAGCTTCAGGCCAATATCAATGACTATCAGTCAGTCCTTAAAGGAACCTTAAATATTTTGAGGATCACCTCTGCATAAAAAGGGCCAAAATTCTCATCTCTTACCCTCCCCCCATTTTTCCCTGATCAAACTCACCTGTCCAACCCCCTCTGTTCATCAGCTCCACTACCTTCCAGACTGGGAAATATCCAGACCCTGCTCTTCAAGTGAAACTCGGCATGTCCTGTCCCAAACCTGCTCCACTAGCCCCACCACCAGTCATCTCCAGAGAAACCCAGGGTCTTCCTCAGCCCCTGCCTCAACACCAGCGCCGTATGATCTTCACCCTTCCATCTCAAACACATGTCCTATGGCTCCTTGCTGCCCCATACCCTGCTTGGGATCCAATGGTGATCCCTAGATGATGAAAACTGCTCTTAGACTTCAGTCTAGGCACCACACAACCAAGAAAGTCACTGACTTAAAAGGCAAATCTGATCACACTCACCCAGGCTCCCTCCCAGTCCTGCCTGAGCCAGGCTAGAACTTGGCCCTGCACCCAGGCTCACTCTACCTCCCCACCCCACCCACTCACCTCTCTGGCCACAACTGCTACCCCATTGCTCTACATGTTTAAATCATCCTTCAACTGAAGATCTGCCCCCAGACCTCTGGGACACTGTACATGCTGAGCCCTCTCCCTACATGAAGACTCTGGGCCTCTCACAGAAGTGACTGTAGGGGGAACAGTGCAGTAGGTTTGGGAAAAGACATGTGAACTTCTACTTGAAGGGGAGGTTTGGGATGTTTCAGAGTCTTGAAGATAGCAGAGCTGGATGGATGGGGTTGGATACATGGGTTCACAGAAGGGAGAAGTCATCCAGTAAAGGTAAAGACTTCGGCTCTCTCTCTGCACAGGTGATAATGAAATTACTCAGGGTTCTTGGAACTGCTTCTTTGTTCATTCCAACAATAAAGCTCTTTCCAATACATGCAAATATGCATCTGATAAGACTAGGCCCAAAAGCCCTCTCCTCAGGAACAAAGCTTGGTGGAGAGGGAAGAACATGGGCCGGGAGTCATAGAGGTACTCTCAGGATGACCTTGAATTGATGCCCTTGGATCTCCCCTTCCCCATGTGGATAGTAGGCACTGTGTCTGTGTTGCTGGGTCGTGATGTGGGTTAACTGGGATCATTTGGGCTAGCGCTCACACTGGCAGGGTGAGTGCTGCACAGGAGAGCTCAACTAGTGAAACACAATGTGGACATCACCCAGCCCACCTTCAGCACCCTAGCAGTGCCTCAGTCAGGGCTGCTCCCTTTTGAAGGAACAGGCCATACCAGCGCTAAGAGAATCTAGGGAGTCACTCCCTGTGCACCTCCTTATCTTTCAAGGGACACACAAAACCAGGCAGAAAGGGGCCACATACTGACCCAGCAAGGACTACGCTGCACGTCATAATAGCCACAGATCATGCCTTGTCGCACCATGGTGACTGATGTTCTGAAATATCTCTGATACTTCTCATTACAAATCTTCTGGGAAAGAATCTTTTGTTCAGCTTCACGAAGCTTTTTTGGCCGCACTAAAGAAACACAATATAGGAGCAAGTGGATCAGCATGACTGAGATAGGACAGGAGCCTTTGGTATACACTCTGGGTGCTCATCAGTTACCCTTCAAAAAAAAAAAAGAGCAGAAATAATGTGCCCTTGGACACAGTAGAGAACTTGGGCCCAGTTTGAGCACTGAGAGGAAGAGGGAAGAGGCCAAATTGAGATAGAAAAGCAAAGATGAGTCAAGGAAATAGAGAGGCAAGGCTTTATCAGCCTGAGAAATGACAACCGTGGCTCCATCACTCTGAGTATCAGTGGTAATGGTGACAGGTGTCCTGTACCACTACTTTACCTTCTAGGGCAGGATCTAAGACTCTCAAACAAGCAGCTCAGAAAAATAACAAGTCCAGTCTCATCCTAAAGATAGGATATCCCGTACCCTCATTGATGGGGTTGCTCTGGCTTGGCCTATCTCCCTGGGAACAAGAAGCTCAACCCACTAGGTAAAGTCCTTTAAAAACTGCTCAAATTGCCTAGGGAGCTCTTGACTCTAAACTCAAACGTACCCTGGAAAGAACCCACCATACCTGTCACCCATGCCCCCAGGTCTTGACATACCAATCAAAATTCCTAAAACAGTTGTAAAGTATTCACAGTCTACCTATTCTTCACCCTCCTCCCTAACCCACCCATAGAGAATCACTTCCCTAACCCTCCCTGGAGCTTGCATACCAACCCCAAACCACCAGGCTCTGCATCCTGGTGAAAGGCTCACCATTCCTTTCCATGCGGCCCCATCCGGTCACCCAGCACAATGTCTCAGCATTCACTGTGAAAGGCCTCTCAGGCAGGCATATAGGCTGGATGTACGAGGAATAATTCACAGGAACATCCAACAGAGCAATGGCAATGTCATTAGTCAGTAGTCGAAAATTATAATATTGATGAAGAACAATGTCTTTAACTCGAATCACAACTGCGTTGTCATCAAACTCAAACAAATTATTGTGTCCCAGCATCACCGTGTATTCCCTTAGTCTGTGGGGAGAGGACATTGTCTTCACAGAGATACAGATGGTCTACACTCCCCATCTACACATTCCAGGTAGTTCCCAGCCTGAACCCAACTCCCTCAGCAAACCTTATCCCCTCCCACACCCAACCACTGTGGCCAGAGATTCTCCAAGAGTGGTTCCCCAGGCCAGTATCACCTGGAAAATTGATAAAAAAATTAAAAGTTCATATTTATCACTAATTCTAAAACGAAATTTTAAATAAACCAGCTAATTGCTATTAGAAGGCATTTCATCTAAAGTTATTTTAATATGTATCATAAAAATAATTTCAAACTGAAATATTGCTTTACCAACAGTTAACAATGGAATGTGTCTTCTCTGTAATGTCTGGAAATAGGAGCAATTTATTATGAGCTTCTACGGATATTTTTTAAATAAAGCAAACATGTTAAACTTAAAACATGAACAACCCCACTACTTTTCAGTTGATTTTTGTTGTTGTTGTTATTGTTGTTGTTATTTTTTTTGGTGGAACTTGGTGTTTGTTTATCACCCATCACTTATTACTGAGAGTGTTTATTCTATGTGAATATTGTTTCATGTTTGTATGGAAAATTATAGCTAAACATTTCATTGTCCTCAGTCTGCAAAAGAACCACAGTTCTTTTGTCTTGCTTATAGTCATTAAACCATTTCTTTTACATATATTGCTGTTACTTCTAATTTCCTTAAAGATTCAGTAAATGATGTTTTATGAAGCCACAAAATACATATATTTTTTATTTTGACCTAAATTTGTATAGTCCCACAGAGTGTCATTTTTAATTACAGATATAAAAACAAATTTCATTGATAACCGGGAAAACCCCCCAAAATATGTTCATTTGGAAAATAGCTAAGATCTTTAATTAAAAATTTGATATGAAAAGCACAAGGTGCAGAAGTTTTGGAAACCCTGTAATGGATTACAACAGGTAAAAGTTAAAGAGAATACATTGATATCTTATAGTGTTGTTGCTAAGTAAGATGTACACTCTTTGTTGTATACTGTTTGACAGCCCAGATGTATCTGTTTATTTACTATACAAACTTTGAAGTAAAAGTTACCAATGTTTGAGGAAAAAAATCAAATGATCAGGTCTCATCCCAGATTAAATAAAAACCCTGAGGCTGTCATCCTCATTTTCTGATGAGGAGGAAACCTCAGAGATGGGGACAGGACACAGCCTGATTAGGGGCCAAAACCCAAAGACCCAAATACTCACCTACCAAAGACACAGTGGGCAGCAGTGAGCACTAACCGGTTGGTGATGAGGGAGCCTCCACATACATGTCTATTATAGGACTGCAGGCTCACCTGCCAGGGCCATTTCCTCCGTGGGGCTTCACTTCCACCAAATATCCTCATACTTCTTTGCCCACATACTGGATGATTTGGGAAAGAAGGTACTAGAAGTGAAGCCATTGTCCCCCAACCCCATGACCACGACACACAGGTTGTCTAGGTGGATCCACCTGTCACACAAGGCAGGTGGATGTCCTCTCCCTCCCTCCCATTTTCTTTTTTTTTTTTTTTTTTTGGTGGTGGTGCTGGGGATTGAACCCAGGGCCTTGTGCATGCTAGGCAAGTACTCTAGTAACTGAGCTATATCCCAGCCCTCCCTCCCCTTTTCAAGACAAGATCTGGCTCCATCCTCCCTAGTCTGGTTGTGTTCCCTTTCAACTCCCAGGCAGGCCTGTATAACCCTGGCACCAGAAGCTACCTGAAGGAAGCACATCTGGAAATGGATTAGAATCCCCATTGGATTTCAAGAATAGTCCCACTGTGGGCTCTGAAGTAGCCCCAGATCCTGGAGCCCCTGCTGGGGCTGGAGCTACAGCAGGATGTGGAATCTTTGGGATTTTCAGGTGTCTGGGAGGAGCTGGGGCCTCTGAGCCTGCCAAGGTCGCTGAGGACTGTTCCTGGGGTCTGTAACCCCTACCTGAGGAAGAAGAGAGCAGCAAGACAGCGCTGGCCAGTCCCCCATCACCCAACCACCACCCGCACCCACCGGGACCTCACGGCCAGGCCGCACCCACTGAGGCCTCACTGAGCAGAGGCCCGAGGAGCTGAAGCCAGAACAGGAGGCCGGAGAAGGCGTTGCCGCTACTGCGGTTGCTCAGGAACGCCATGGACCTGTCAGCCCTCTGTTGCGCCCCCGCGCGGTGTCGCACTCATTCTCATGCGCCGACCGCGTGCGCAGACCCCTGGGTCCCAAGGCCAGGCCCGGCTCGGCTCACTGTCCCCGAAACCCTGCAACATCCTTCACATGGGAGCGAATCTCAGCGTGTAAATCATTATTGTTTGATTAAAAACACAGCTGCGATCTTTTACATCTCTGCCCACCCACAAATGGAATTCTCTTCCCCACCCTCAATGAATCTGAGCTGGCCTTGTGACTTGCTTTGGACAACAGAATGTGATAGAAGGGAAGCTGGGCACCTCCTGAACTCAGGTGCTAAACATCCTGGTAGCTTCTGCTTTCCCCTACCTGGACACTGACCTGAGGGCACCTGCTCAGCCTAGGGAAGGATGAGAGGTCTTTGGAAGAAAACCGAGGCACCCCTATCCATACACCAGGTAACCCCTCATGTTGGAAGGCCATCTGGGACATCCTGGACTCTAATAAAGCTGCCTCATGGATGTAGCCTTAGGAATGAGCTCAGACTAGACAGGCAGAATGGCCTAACCAACCTATGATACTGTGAGAAGTACTGTTGAATCCTGCTACTCACAGGAGTGAAGTTCTACAAAGCCATCATGATGCTGGATGAGTGAATACTGATCCTTTGCTGCCAGCAGCAACACAGGCCTTGGGTTACTCTGAGCTTCTGCTCAAAATGTTCTCATTGACTAGCCTTGTATCACGGGTTCCTCTGTGAAGACACCCCCATTGCTCAAATGCACAATACAGAGGACAGAGATACACACACAGAGGAATGTTCTCATCCTCCCAATTCAGTTCTTCCCAATTTCTCTCTTTCACAGGGAAGTTGCACCCAGGCATCCATCCCCTTAACTCAGTGTTCTTGTAATGAGCACCTCTATTCCCACCTGTGATTTACATGTTATGTGTGACCCAACATCATTGCTTAATTCATATAGAGTAATCCACATTTTTGTAGGAAAGAGTAAAAATGTTAATGATTGTCATCGCAAAACACATCTGAACCAATCAGGGTCACTCTAAGTGAATCTGGGGAATAAATAAAGACACAGCACAGAAAGTATCTTTTCTTTGGATTCAGTAACTGCTCCTCAGGGGCAGCTCCCACAAGGCGGGCAAGATAGGCAAGAAAGAGTGAGGAGCACACGCTGAACCCTTTTATTGGGGAGAAGCCATTCAAATGAGGTAAGGGGTCAGGTTTACAAAGGAACAGGTGAGTGTAACTCAACCCCCACGGGTGACACCTACACCTGGAGCCACTCTTCATTGTCTGAGCGGGTAACACCCAAGTTACCAGGACCTGGCTCTGC